CCCCCTCCCCCGCCTTTTGGTGGCCCGCCTGCGCCAATGGCGCTCAACCAGCCGCCTCCGAAACCGACAAATCTCTCTTCGAAGCCGCTTAAGTCGTTTAACTGGACAAAGATTCCGCCGATGAAGGTCAAGGAGACGGTGTTCGCATCTTTGGACGACTCGGAGGTCCACGCAGCACTAAAGGACACGTACAAGGAGTTTGAGGAACTCTTCGCTGCGAAGGAAGTGAAGAAAGAGTTTGGGAAGTCGGGGAGCTCCGACAGTCTTCGTAAGTTCGCTTCGGTGTGTGAGTTAAATTCTAAAAAAACGTTTAGCTGGTGCGAGTGCGAAGGAAATAACTTTCCTCGACCCTAAGCGATCTCAAAACACAAATATTATGCTTAAGGCCATTAAGCTGAGTCACTCGGACATCAAGCGTGCCATAAACACATTCGACCTCGACGTCCTCCGGCACCACATCCTCGGGGAACTCCTGAAGTGCGTGCCGACGGAGGAGGAACTTCTTCTGTTGAAGAACTATGAGACCGATAGCGAAAACCTAGCGAGCGCGGAAAAGTTCCTGTTTGCTATGAGCGAGATCTCTCAGTATGAAGGGAAGCTCAAGGCGATGCACTTCAAGGCTAGCTACGAGGAGTACATGGATGACGCCGAGACGATGGTTTCGTGGCTGCGTAGGGCGACGGAAGATGTGGTGGGGAGCAAGAAATTCAAGGAGCTTTTAAAGGTGGAGTGCTATAAAGACGTTTTTAAGCTGACAAATGTACTTGTACGAAGGTGATCTTGGCTCTTGGGAATTACTTGAATTCCGGACAACGTGGAGGGGCTTACGGCTTCCGGTTAAATAGTATTCTAAAGGTAATTGTGCAAACGAAGGTGGATGCTGGGATCTGAATAGGGTTTACAGATGATCGATACAAAGTCAACTGTTCAGAACCGCAAACATACGCTCCTTCATTACCTCACCGAAATTGTCCCGAAGAAGTTTCCGGAGGTTAATGGCTTTCAAGAGGAGCTTGCTCATGTAGAGGATGGCGCTAAAGGTAAGCAATGACATGAACTTCTAGTTCTGACTTCGTTCCCAGTCACAATCCCCGCAATTCGTCAAGTACTCATGACGCTGCGTAACGGCTTGAAGGAGCTTGAGTCCCTCATGTCCACCCTTCAGCGCGAGATCGAGACGCCCGCCTCCTCGCCGACTAAGAACACCTCCCCGACACGGGCGGCTAAGGACAAGATGTTCATGGAGGTTCTCAGCTCGTTCCACGCATCCGCCTCGAAGGCTTACGAAGAGTTGGATGAGCGCTTTAAGGGAGCCGAAAAGGCCTTTGAGGCATGTGTGAACTCCTTTGGCGAGGACCCGAAGACGACGACCCCCGAGGAATTCTTCGGCGTCTTTTGGAAGTTCGTTCAGGGGTTTAACGGTGCCCGGCTCGACAACGAGACGGCCGTCGCGAAGGCCGTGGAAGCGGAGAAGAAGGAAGAGCAGAAGAGGGTAAGTTTGAAAATGTATTTTTTCTGTTTATCTAGGCTGTTGTCTTTTGGTCTCTGCGCCGAAACCCTAATTGCTTTCATGGCTAGACAATGGAGGAGCGTCGGAAGAAGAAGCGGGAGGCCTCGACCACGCACGGTCACGGCCACCACGGTAAGGATCCCTCTGCCAAGGGCCACGGCGCGGACGTCGACCAGGGCGGCCTCGACGACCTGATCTCCGCCATCCGGACAGGCAAGGCCTTCTCTGGCGGAGGCGGTGGTGCTGGTGGGGACAAGGACGCCCCAGCCCCGCCGAGGAAGAGGGCGGGTCCGAATCGGGACGGAAGCCCGACGCATGACAAGGGAAGGGACAGTCCCGCAGCCGCGAAGAAAAAGGAGAAATCGGGGGAGAAGCCTGAGAAGAGCGGGGATCGCAGCGGTGGTGATGGTGCCGGAGAGAAGGCGAGGGTGAAGTCGAGACAACGGGGGGACAGCGGGTCTAAGGTAGCTGCGAAATGAGTATGCTTTAGACTTTCTGGCGATTTCCTTCGTTATTCTCCCTTGGAGACAATATCACCTCCCAGCCATTATCCTAGGTTTACGCAATCACCTGACACACGCGTTGCTTTCATTTCATTTACTTTTTATTTTAAAAACTGCTTTACTGCCGGGAATAACGAGTGTTAGCCTCAGCTTAACTTCGCCATTTGTTTTCCGCCGGTCGCTTCTGGTGAGGCGATAAGGCTTTAATAATGAACATCTACGATTGCATGAACCTCATTTCAGTGAAAAAGTGCTGTTTTCCTGTGAAGCACGTACAGTGACATGAATAGGAACGAATGCGCACAATCATACTACCACCCGCTGGCAACAATAGCGACAACATGCTTAACCTGCCACCTGTCCACAGCCATGTGCACGTGTGAAGCGGACGGAACTCAAAAAAACTGTTTTGTTCGTGCTCAAATTTGAGCTTCTTTAATCTTATTCTTGCTCTTTCTCCAAGCTTTCTTAAGCTAAGCTGGGTAAACCTAGAATATAGGTTACTGATGCAAGTGTGGACAGCACTACGCTAACAATGCTAGTATAGCCTCAAGTGTTGCAGCTAGAACGGGTAGATAAAAAGACGAATAGCTCAGTGGTAGAGCGGCCGACTGCAGATCGGCAGGTCTCCGGATCAACCCCGGATTCGTCCTCTTCTTTCATTCATTTTTTTTTCTTGCCTTTTTTTTTCTTGCCCAAGATGTTGCGGTGCGGTGCTGAGCACCACCTTCTTTATAAAGGAAGGACAGAAACATGGAAGCACTTCAATAAACAGACAAAAGTGTAATGGAACCGCAGCGACTTTGAAGTGCCAAATTTGACAAAAGTGGTTGCGTCCGGGATCGAACCGGAGACCGTCTGTGTGTTAGACAGACGTGATAACCAACTACACCACGCGACCGTGCCATCATTGTCGCCAATGAGCTACTTGAACGATATGTGGCTTTATTTTGATTTTTTGCATTTGGCTGAATGCTTTTCCCACCTTTAACGGTCGGAATAAAGGCAGGGCAGCTGATGCTGCATGGACGAGATTCTCGTGCGTGTCGGTTCTCGTTCAAAAGTCCTTCGACATCCACCATGAAAAGAGCATCCTGGATGAAGTTTGCGCTCACAGATACAAAGGTTTAATAATGCCAACGACTGAGGTAGGCATTCCTTTTGGAAAACGTCTATTTCAATGATCAAACCGCGACTTCAAACCTGGCGACTCAAATACTAACAGGTTCGAGCTTGTCAATACCCGCCGCATCAACAAGCCTCGCCAGCATCTCATGCATAACCCGCACCCTCGGCCTCCTCCTTGCAATGCTTTTCAAAACCTCCATCGTCACCGCCAGCCCCATCCTCGCTTGCGCCACAATCTCCTTCGTCAGCACTTCCTCCACTAGAAGCCTCACCCGCGGCGGCATCTTCCCGCCCTCCATCCCGCTCTTCCCCGCCAGCACAACCGCCACAAGCCAGAACAGACCGGCCTCCAGCACGGCCCGGCTCTCGTTCACGGCGCACACGCTCCCAATCGCCACGTCCCCGTCCGTCATCAAAAAGCTCGGGCTCACAATCCTGATCCGCTTCCTCAGAATCCCCGTGATCTTGCTGCTGGCCTCAAAGGACCGCTTCAAGCTCTCCCGCCCAGCCTCCTCTTCTCGGCCACGCACGCCAAGCTCCTCAAAGCCCTTCACAAGCACCTCCTCCTCCGCGAGGCCGCCCGCCGCGCTCCCGATTGCCATCGTTACCCCCAAACCCTTCAGGGCCCTCATGACACGCGAGCGGTGCATGCCAAGCATGGCACCCTGGTACCATAAGTGTAGCCGGATGCCCTGATATAGCGGCGGCCCGGACTCGAGATCCGGTCCGGGTGCATCATACCGCATCCGAAAGACGTCGGACCCAAAGACGGCGGCCGCCGAGATCTCGGCCGGCAAGGACGCCTCCCACGAGAGCAGCTCGAGCTCCAAGTGCCTGAATCTCGCTTCGGCGTCCCCGATGCCTCCCACGCCGCCGGCGCCACCCGGCACGCCCACTGTCCCGCCCCCTAATCCGCTCATAGCGGACCACGTTGACGGGGCCAGCGGGTTCGCAAAATTCCCGGACTCGGGCGCCTCTGTCGAAGTGTTGATGGTGGTGCCCATGACGACGCCCGTTGCCATGGTGAACTCCATGGCGGAGCAGATGACGTCAATGATCCAGAGGCACATCAGCCCCGTGTCGAGGGGTTTCGCGGGAGACGGAACAATGGCGGAGGGGATAGGAAGGGTTGGCTCGCCTGTGCGCGGGTCGACGGAAAACCAGAGGGCGTACGCGCAGGGAGGTTTGACTTTTGCCGGGCGTTTCCAGAGGTTGAAGGAGAGCTCGCGGAAGATGAAGTCGACTTGGTCGACGCATCGCCTGAAAGTCAATGATAGCGTGAGCTAGGAACAAAGTGAGTTGTTCACTTACAGAAGAGCAAAGACTCGACGGCGGGTCTCCTTCTCAAGCCACGTCCATCTCCGACCAGAGGGATCCTGCATTTCCAACTCGTCCGGGTCGACATCGAGCTTGATGAGTTGAAGCTAAACGCGCTACGTCAATTTTCGTAAACGAGACATCCACGTACCATCCTCATCGCCATGCCCCCCAACAACCACTCCTGACTAACCCTCAAGCTATCCATCACAGCACAACACCACATCATCATCACAAGCGCCTGACAAATCTCCACGCTCGGCTTCTCAACGTTCAGGTGCGCGATGGCCGCGCCTAGGATCTCGTCGCTCCGCGCCAGCCGGTCGGGCGTCGAGAAGCTGTGGTACGGCCAGTACGACCCATCCCGCGAAGGGCCGGAGATGGCGGCGAGGGCGCACATGGAGTAGGTCAGGCAGCGGGAGGGCGGGGTGTCGAAGGATCGGAGGTTGAGGAGGAAGGTGGCCTCGTGCACGATGGGGAGGGGGATGATATAGATGGAGTCGCAGCGGGCGATTTCGAAAAAGGTCTGTAATCGAACAAGAGTTAGCAACGATATCCGTAACGATATCCCGAAGAAAAATTGTACCTTCAACAGCCCATCCATCTCTTCATCCGACATGTTGAACGCTGGATCGGTCGGCGCCCCCGCATCCGCCATCACGGCGTCCATCGGATCCTCAACCTCATCCAACACGCCCACATTGTTCGAGAACTCGAACGCGTCCTCGATCGTGTCAATCCACCGCTTGTCGAAGTCCGCGATCGAGCGGCCGTTCTCGTCCATCGCAAAGCGCGTCGAGGAGGACGGGAACACGAAGTCCAGGAGGAGGTCCTCGGCCGAGAAGATGCCCATGGGAGGGCTGACGGTCGATGAGGAGGCGGAGGAGGAGGATGTGGCGCGGGAGCGGACTGCTGGCGTGGTGTTGGGGAGCGAAGGGGTTGAGTAAGATGAGAGGGACAAACCGAGGGATGATCCCGACGGGGATGGGACGGAGCCTGACGATGAGGGAATGCCGGCGAGCGGGGTAGCGTACGGGGTGGCGATGTCCTTAAACAGAGTCTTTACGCTGATATCATCCACGGCATCTGTTAGCGCCTGTGATGACGCGAGCAAGACTTACGTTTCTTCGACCTCATGAAGCCGCTTCTCGAGCTTTCGCGCGATCTTGGTGTTGATCTCCTCGTTCTGCTCTTTGCGCGGCCGCCGGATCAGCGCCGGAGAGATGTACCTCCTGTTTAACATGTGTCAGACACGCTCCGCACCTGCTTACTAGTAGAATAAAGTGGTTCACTCACCGGACATACGTGCACTCTGCCTTCTGCTTCTTGCACAAAGAGCACCGCGGCACCTGAATCAAATGACAGTCAGTATCCGCGTGTCGCGCGCCCAACACATGGTCTCAATCTGGTTCAAGCTAAGACGGTCCGTACCTGTCCATCGCACTTGCGTTTCGCGGCGTAGCAGTTGTCACTAACCGTCCGGAGTCGGTAAAATCCGGTCAGATCGCGGCACAACACGAAGAGCAGAAGACGGCTGGGATCTCACCACGCCGTGGCCTTCTGCAGCGGCTTCTGCAGCATTGTCGGCTGCCGTCTGGGGGTTGGATCGGAGGCCGATCGGCGAGTGTTGACAAAACCTCACGAGATCGTGGCTTGAAATATGTGGGAGCGCCCTTGAGATAGCTGAGATAGTGGGGAGGCCGCCACTTCCGGTCTATTGAAATCTGGCAGAACGCGTCGAGGCCGGTTGAAGCGTTGGAGTTATTCTGCATGCCGCCAGACGGGCCTTCGGCCGAATGTGAGTGACGATCATCAATCACGGCTGCTCGCGCCTGCAAATGGTGGCGAGCTCCCTCTTGGTGGGCCCAGGCGGGATGCTTTCCAGCATTCGGCTGTGACGAGGGCCGATGCTGTGCATTTTAGGACGCTTGACGCACGCCGCTGGCAGCTCCGGAGAGCCGTCATCCCCTTCAGAACTGCTCGAAGCCGTACACCGTTTCAATAAGAAAGGCTAACGCGGCGCCTGCCGCCAATGAAAGCACCATTTTCCCGTTTGGTGGCCAGGGTGCCGAGGGTGCAATCGTTCTCAGAGAGGCGGCAAAACTGTCCGTGGGCAGGCTGAAGCCGATGTTGAAGATTCGGCACCGGTGGTGTTCGCGACGATGCAATGGTCCCAAGGCCTGCATTGTTCCCGACAGTGTCCTTTCTCCTTCATCTACTTCCGCATGCACACTACCACTTTTGCCGTCCCTTCACATAGTGATGAGGCATAGAAACTGGTTCGTTGTTAACCTTATGCTAAAATATTACAGAGGATACTGCAAACTGCGACTGCGACTCATAAATAAAAAGAAAGGTCGGAATCATAGAATGTCTTTTTCATCATCACCACATAGGAAGGAAGAGTACCGCATGAAGCCAATAGACTCAACGACATGCATGGGAAACAAGTAAGGATTTAACGAGCCCATGAACACCCATTATGAATAAGCTGGCGGACAACCCTCCACCCCCATCCCCGCTTGTACCCCGGCAGCCTCCCACGACCCCCTCACAGTGGATGCGGAGGGGCCGCCGGTGGAGGCGAGAGGAACGCGCCGCGCGACTTCTCGCTCGGGAAGACGGCGGGCGTGGATGATGTGGCGCTTGTGACGGTCCCGCTATAGAACAACGGGGAGTCGCTCCCCGCCTCCGTCGACGGTGAAGGCGGCGGGTGCGCATGAGATTTCTTCTCGTCGGACGAGACGTTGCTGCCAAAGGGTGACACGGGCGGCGCGAAGGACGACGGTGCAGGCGGGTGCGAGTAGAACGTCACCGTAGTGTGTGACGCCTCCGGCGCGTCGAACTCGGGCGCGTGCATGCCGAACGCGGCTGGGTTGTATGGGATGTTGTTGTTGGGAGGATAGAGGGGCACTTGTGACATGCGGGAGTTGGCCGCGGACGATGCAGAGGCTTTCCGGCGACGGAAAACCAGGACGGCAACGGCCATGAGTGCTGCAACGATTACGGCCGCGACGATGGGGAGGATGATGAACAAAAGGGGTGGTGAGGATGTCGTCGTTGATGTCGAGCCAGCGGAGGCGTTCGACGGTGTCGCGAGAGGGTTAGCAACCGATGGAGTCGCGTCTGACGGTAGCGCCAGCACTGGAATCAAAGCGGCAAATCATTAGCACACGTGGTAATGAAAGAAGAGAACACTCACGCGAAGTCAACACGCCGACATCGCCCCCGACGCCCACGTCCCCAAACTCGCACGCGATGAACACGTTCTCGATTGCCACCATCGAGCTCGCCGCCTTGTCATCGTTGCACCCCTTCACTCCTGATTCCGGGTACGACAAACACTCGATATCCATCGTATACGACAACGCGTTGGGCAAGATGGCGTTGCAGGCTGCCAGCATGTCGGCCGCGTTTGAGACTGTGGGTAAAGAAGTGACGTTCATGCATGGATAC